GAACGGCGTGTGCTGGGCTGGGCAAGGGGCTGCGGCGCTGCTTCGGCGCGGGCGCCCTTCGGCCTGTGTCCGGAGCTGCTCCCGCGCCCGGAGTTGGAGGCGTCGCGAGTGAGGCCGTGAGGAGCGCGCCGCTGACCTCCGGGGAGGCGCAGGGCCCGGCCCGTCCAGCCTCGAGTTGTGGAGACGTGGTCAGCCCCTTAGGTTCCGTGAAGATTTGCTAGTTGAGAGTTCCAGGTCCTGAAAGTCGTGACCCTCTTTGTGGTAAATCACGTAGTCTTCGAATCGAAATCGATGGTGACACTACGTATAACAATCGGACCTGTTGGCTTAAGAAGTGAAAATATGGAAGGCGCGAGTAGTAGAATACTCCCTCATTTTGCTGAAACTGCGTAGTGAAGATGGATGTGTAAACACACATACTAAAATACAATTGGCGTTTCTTTTTCCTTCGAACAGAAGTACAGGTAGGGAAAAATTTCCGCAAGCAATAAATTCGGCACGATTGGTGCCGAATAAGAGTAAATGCCAAGTAAAATTGAATTTAGTGTTTTTCTTCCTGTTTTTATACTTCTTAGGTACTCTTTGTTGTCCCCATTGTTTTAAATCTTTGCGTTTCTTATTCTGATCTTTTACTATTTCTGTCCAGCACGACGAGGTAAGAACTTAACGAAATTTTGATTCAAGCCTCAGAATAACATGGTTAAGGAGCTACATATGTGGTGTAACCGGATATGCTCGTGAGGTAACGAAAATTTTGTTTGGGAAATAGGGCCAGTATTTTAATTTACAACACCTACAGCATTTCGTGAAAGAGTTGTTCGTGAGACAGTAGCACTAGTCAGAAGATCCCGGTCGGAGTGGTTTTTTTGTTTGTTTTTGAGATAGGGTTTTGCCATGTAGCTCAGGCTGGCTTCCTTAGCAGGGATCCTCCTGCCTCAGCTGCCTCTGCTGGGATTACAGGCCACAGTGCCTGGCTTCAGTATTGGTTTTGCCATAGTTACTTAACCTTTTCAGATTTCCTCAGAAACACAGTAGTAAACTCCTAAATGTCAAATGAGGTTTAAATTAGATAAGTAGTGTGTAAAGCAGTCAACACTTCAGGAGACTTGGCGTGTGATTTTTTTTTTTTAAAGAATACAAATAAATGGAATTGGCTGCTGATGTCCAGTTCTTTATATACAAGTGTTCTGGTTAGAAAAACCTTAAAAGTTGACTGCATTTTTTTCTAAAGGTAAGAACTTTCTGCAGCTCTCAATAGTGGTATACCTAGTCTTGGGTTCTTTTCAGTTTCATGACGGATCAGGTGTCTTTTTATCCAGCCCAGGGGTCTTGATTATGCTAAACACCTACTCTACCACTGAGCTATGTAATTGATAAATAGCCCCAACGTTGAGTCAGGTGTCTTACAAGTGCTTCTTTCTCCCGTGTTGGCAAGGGGCTTATTTTTCTATATAAAGCAGTACAGACTCTCCTCCGTAGACACCTGATGTGTCAAATTATAAACTTGGGCACAGTCAGCCATGACATTCAGATAGCCGATATCCAGTCATCTCCATATCCATCGCACACACCTCTTCATCTAGTGTATATTCAAGAGTTGCCCACATTTTAATGTTTTAAGAAAGTAGTTTTATGAAGTAAAACATATCAAATGATGCCAGACATGTTTTGATAATGTGTAGTTTGTTGTCTGACTACTAGATTAGGGCTTCATATTACAAGAGTGAGTTTGACACAGCATCTTTCCATAACTCACAGTGTAGTCGTTAGACCAATGGGTAAACAATTACTTAACTCTTAGCGTGGTATATCATGGGAGCATAAATGAGGAGTGCTTGGTTTCAGGGGACAATTTTACAAGAAATACTGCTTGAACTAATATGTAAAGGATGACTAGGACTTTGATAAGAAAACTGCAAAGTCATCATATAATTTCTTTTAGGAAGTGACAGTTTGCTTCCCACAGATGAATAGTAAATTGAATGGGAGGTTAGAGCTTGACATGAAAGATGTGTGCAGCATCATAAAGTTAGAACACTGTGCTGTGGGATAGAAAGCTGTTGTAGCCCTAAGCCTAATAAAAGAGATTTTCTTTTTAGATTCTTGGCTGGTACTGTCTTGTGTTACCACAGATAAGTTCTAGTTAAAAAAAGTGCATAAATGAAATTTAGTCTTACAGCAAGTCTCATTTTTAAGCAACATTTAACTAATGGACCTTTTTAACTTTAAATAACTGAATCAACAGTGGATCACATTAGAATGATTACAATTTAAAATGAAAAAGATTTTGAGTTCCTGCTAAGATTACTTGAATTCACTAAAAGAGAATTCCCTTTACAATGAATTTATCTAATTACAAGTCATTACTTCACAAAAACTATCTTAAACGAAGTACATAATTGTAAGATGAGCCCAAAAAAGACTAGGCAGGGGGTAAAATTATAATTTGAAAGTTGGCTGAGGTGTCATTTTTCACTGATGTTAATTTTTAGTTTTCAGCTCTGACTTAAGCTTTATGTGGTCAAAGCTGGTTTTTCCTGTTCTCAAATATATTTCTCTGTGGCTACCGGTTAGACTAGATAAGTTGAACACCTGGTTTTAAAGTCATCTAGTGCCCTACACCCATTTTTGTCAACAGATTTAAAAGAGGGCAAGGTTTGAACCTTCAAAGCTAGTTATCCATGTGTTTCTCACCAGAAAGAATTCTAAAAAGATTTTCACTTACTGAATAAAGATTGAAACTTGACACCTACAGGATATATTCACTTTGAGAACAGGTTGTCTCAAAACTGCTCTACTGTGGACAACATCAGAGTTATATTTTCCCATAGAGCTCTTAAACTTTACCTGCCTAATTTTCTTTCAGAATTTTTTTTTTTTTTGGTACTGGGAATCGAACTCAGGACCTTGCGCTTGCCAGGCAGGTGTTTGTGCCACTGGGCTATATCCCTGGCCCTCTCTTTTCTAAGATTTAAATAATGTCAGCCAAAAGTCAAGACATTTCTTAAAGGACTCCCACATTTCTATGTATTGTTTATCTTATTTGACCACTTTTGGCTTCCATGTTTCAGAGTTCACCAGGATAAATAAAGCAGTAGTATAGTTTTCACTAGAGAAAAAATATTTTCTCTAGAAACCTTTTTTCTTTTTTAAAGAAAAGGATATGAAAACTACAGGTAAATAATGGAATTGTAATTATTTCTGGAATCTTGTCGCTGTTGAAATACATTGATACTTTGTGTGTTAACTCTGGCCTTCATGCCATGAATGTATCATATAACAGTGTACTCTTACTAATTCATTAACTGTAATTTCCCTTGATATCTAAGGAATCAGACCCAGTTAGAATCAGGTTTTTCATCAAGACTGGGAGCATAAAGTAATCGTATGATAATAGAAAAGTAAAGTTATGGTAAATCATGAATCTTTGCTCTATTGATGCATGACAGACCACTAAAAACCTAGTGAATTAAAATTGTTCACTATTAAAAAAAAATAAATAAATAAAAATAAAATTGTTCACTATTTTTACAGTTCTCTGTGCTTCTTGGTCAGTTATGCAGGTTTTATATGGGTTCATTCTTATACCAACATTTGGCTGGAGGATCTCCCAGGTTGGGAAGAATAAGACGTTGTCACTCCATGTGGGCTGTCTGTGTTCATTAACATCATTGTCTTGTCCATGTGATCTTTAATGACATTAGCATCACAGGACAATATCTTCATGGTGAAAATGGAGGCTACAAGACTTCTTAACAACTTTTTGAAGTTATAAAATGCCCCTTACATTGTACTGACTTACAGTAAGTCTCACAAGGCTAATCTATATTTAAAAATTGGGAGAATAAGACTGCCTCACTTGCATTGCACAGGGAATTACTAGGATAGAGGAATTTGTAACCATATCTTATGGCTTACCACAGGTTTTGAATGTTTGTAGAACAGGCATTCCTTTTTTTTTTTTTTGCAGTACCAGGGATCGAATTCATGACCTTGCACTTGCCAGGCAGACACTTAATGCCACTGAGCTGTATCCTCAGCCCTAGAACAGGCATTCTTAACTGGATGTAGTGGCACACACCTGAAAACTCAGCACTGAGGAAGTTGAGGCAGGAGGAGCACAATTTCAGGCTCACCCTGGGCAATTTAGTGACTTAGCAAGAGCTTGTCTCAAAACAAGAAATACAAAAAGGGCTAGAGATGTAGGTCAGGTAAGCTCAGTGTGAAGTTCTCAGGTTCAATTCTCAGTGCCAGTAGAAGAAAAAGTCCTAATTGAGATTACTTTAAAATAATATAGATGATAAAATAGACAGGATAAAATCAGACTTTTGATTGCTACCTGGAACTTCATTTTCTCTACTTCTGTGTGTGTTTGAAAAAATTAAGTCAAATCCAGCTCATTTTGTGTGGAATGCTTTTAACCTTTTCACTTAGTTAGACTTCTTTTTGTTAGAATAGTGCTTTATTATTTGACA